CTAGAAATTATTACTGTTGGAACATCTAGAGCCTGTTTGGTAGCACGAAAATCGGCTGTTATGGCTGATTCTGCTGAAATTTATGAAGTTCTGGCTGAAGTGACTGTTTTGGCTGATTCTGCTGATTCTAGAAAAAAATATTTTAAAAATATATTTTATTAATAAAATAAAGAAAAAAATACATGTAAAAAGAGCTAAAATGGTCATCAACAGTAACTTCAGTCAATACAGCTAGAAAAGTAACTCCAACCTTACTTTTTCAGCTTATTACACAATTCAGCACGCGAAAGTAAAAGTTACGTGTTTGGTGAAAAAGCTGGTTGATAAGCTGATAAGCCGAAAAAAGAGGTCTCCAAACGGGCTCCTAGTTTTCAGTTAAGGTCCCATAATATGGTCATGAACTCAGGATTAAGCCGATGATATGAGCCACATGAACATTATCAAGAATCCTAATTGTATCTTCTGCCTATACGGAGTATAGTGGTGATAATGACTCAAATGAGCAAGAAGTCTTTCCTTTATTTTTTCCTCAAACAGGGCAACTTGTCCAGACATTTTATTTGTCTTCTTATTATGGATATTCTCTCAATCAGGCAGATAGCCAAGCAAAGACAATCCAAGCCACATGGTACAGCTCAATCTACACCCAACTTCACCATCAACATACATACAGTCTCATAAGGTGGTCCAATAATGTTTAACCCAGCAGTATTATAGTAAAGCTACATTTAATTTTGATTCTTTTGTTATTCGGCTTCCACTAAGTGAAGATTATTGAGTGATGACAGACACTATTGCTGCTCCTGACGATTCTTGTGAAGCTTCTCTTCCTACCCAATGCCAAAGGTAACTATTCACTAACTAACCAGCTCCTCACTTTTCTTCATCTTACAACACTTTCTTGAGTTTCTTCTGCTAAACAATCTTATCTTATAGGTTCAGTTTAAAGCATGTTTGGGTCCTGTTGAAGTTTGTTTTTTTATGCCCTCTTCCATCTTAAGAGGTCTCTATGTGCTTCTTTTGCTGAAATAATTGGAGCTGGGATTTAGCCCTATGCAAGACCGAGTCTTTTATGCTTACTTATGGAGGCCAAACGTAGTTGATTAGGCCAAATCTAGTAAGAGCTAGCATTCAGTGTGAAAGTATCTTCGAATCTGTGCCTTTTTTTGAGTCTTATTAGGGTCTTGTGTTTAAGTGGAAATAGAATGAATTACTTTAGTAGGATTAAGTATTTTACTTGTTTCTTCGAGGGTATTGCCGTATTGGTTTTCATCCGGAATGTGATTCTAATGAAACTAGTTATGAAAAGTTTTATATGTGAGTTTATGTCTTTATATATGGTTATGTTTGGTGTGATGACATAACAAAAACATCTCAAATTGGACAAATATAACGTAACTAAACTGATACGAAGTATATAGTACTGCTCCTATCATGTTGACCTCCTAAATATCTAACTCTTAATACCATTATTGTTCTAACGAGTCATTATCTTGGGATATGCGAAAACACAACTTTTGTTTTTGTAGAAAAACTACCAGGTCTTTCTAGGTGTGGGTGGATCCTGGCTTAGTTGTTTGTTTCCTACTTTTCTTTAACAAAGTAGTCTCTAGTTCTCTTTTGGTAACCAACTAACCATAAAACATTTGAGACATATATGGATAATCAAGGTACTTGGCTACTTGCAAGAACTAGCATCAGGTTCAAATCGTGGTTTAATAATGCCAAGACGGATGTAAGAATTGCATTTTTCAACAACAACAAAATATCACAACAAAGGCCAAAGATATTTTAAGTTTTTAACTACCAAACTAACTCATCTAATGTCAAAAAACTAGATTAAGAATAAGCATTATTATTTGTGAGTTAGGACAGATTTTCCTTTAAAAGCTTACCATTTAGTTGTCCATACTGTGGTTAGTTGTTGGGTATCTCTAGCTAATTTATAGCTATATGAATATATGATGGGTGAAATAGTCGTACACTCGTGCATAGGTAGTACATGGTAATTGAAAGCTTCAATCTCTTAGTGCGGTTTGACTTAAGTATTTCATGACCTAGTTTAGTAACCGAATAGTAACCCAATCCAACTGTGGAATCTTTTCTGCCACTTATATGGTAGACTATATATGTAATTGTTCAGTTTGGTATAGATTTAAGTCCATTAACGTAATGGTGTCACCCCCTCTGTAGCCCTGTTTTAAATGGAATTGTAGTTATTGAATGGGGACCTATCCATAGATGAACTAGCATTCATGTGTTGAGTCTGAGTTTTTTCCACCTTTAGTTCTCCAACTTTGTGACAGTGACACTTACGGCACCCTGCCCAAAAGCTCTGTTTGATTTCCTGTATGATCAATTTGAATTGCTTCCTAACTTTTCAGATTATTAGGAAAAGTTGCTTTAGTGACCGGAGGTGCCAGTGGAATTGGAGAGAGCATTGTCCGTTTGTTTCACAAGCATGGTGCAAAAGTGTGTGTGGCTGATATTCAAGACAATCTCAGCCTGCAACTATGCACATCGCTGGGAGACGACGCTGCTCTATGCTTCATCCACTGTGATGTCACCCTAGAAGACCACATCAGCCGTTCAGTTGACTTCACAGTGGACAAATTTGGGACGCTCGACATTATTGTGAACAATGCCGGAATTTCAGGCCCACCAGTCCCAGACATCCGTGAGTTCCCGCTCTCCGTGTTCGAGAAGGTATTTGATGTGAACGTGAAAGGCGTTTTCCTTGGAATGAAACATGCAGCACGGGTGATGATCCCACACAAGAAGGGTTCCATTATATCTATTAGCAGTGTTTCGAGTGCCATGGCTGGTCTGGGCCCACATGCCTACACGGCCTCCAAGCACGCCGTGTTGGGCCTCACTCGGAATGTGGCTGCTGAGATTGGGAAACATGGGATTCGCGTGAACTGTGTTTCTCCTTATGCTGTCCCCACGGGGCTGGCTCTCGCACATTTGCCTGTGGAAGAGAGGACTGACGACGCATGGGAAGGTTTCCGTGGTTTTGTGGAGAGAAATGCAAACTTGCAGGGAGTGGAGTTAACTGCACCTGATGTCGCCAATGCAGTGTTGTTCTTAGCCAGTGATGAGGCGAAGTATATCAGTGGGTTGAACCTCATGGTTGATGGTGGGTTCACTTGTGTCAACCATACTCTTGGAGTCTTCAGATGAATTAATGGTTCATTTATCAGAAATTACCCTAAATAGGAGTAAAAACGTTTTGAAATTCCAAAATAGGAGTATCATGTTTTTTATTCCCTAAATAGGAGTAATCTGCCAAGTTTGGAAAAAAATGCCATGTTTAAAGCCTTGTAATTTCCAAACTTGGCAGAAATTTACTCCTATTTAGGGAATAAAAACATGATACTCCTATTTTGGAATTTCAAAACTTTTTTACTCCTATTTAGGGAATTCTCTCTTCATTTATTGAGCATAAGCTGCTGTCTATTGTAACATTCACAACAATGCATCAATTTGCTGCATATGTATGCTCTATCCCTTGTAATATAATGCATTCATTCAAAATCAAGTGACTTTGCTGGCATTCTACTATATGAATTAGGGATGGACCCAGGCTCATGATAATCCTTCATTAAATCCTTCATAATTCTCTTCCCCTTTTCTTTATTTTTAACTTCTAAGGGGCTCTACGCCCTATTGTTGTTAGGATGTTTTTAATTGGACTGGAATTTTCTGGTCTGATCTGGTTTGGTTTGATCTGATCTGATTTTGTCTGGGACTAAAATAAGTCCAATTAAAAACATAGCTGGCTGCCTGGCTACCACCGTTTCAAGTAATATGCATTCCTTATGATGTTTTTTTTTATCGTCAAAAGCATACTATCATTAATTCAATAAATCGTTAGCCAGATGGCTAGAAATACAACTCGGAACCTGTAAATAGTCAACGGACTGATCTGAGATGTGAACATGTGACTTTGCCAGAGCATGAGCCACACGATTCGCAGACCTTCTACAAAAAGAGATTTTATAAGAACTCTTTGTTTCTATCAGACTACGAATATCATTAATACTAAGGTGAGCATAGGATAATCCCTCTTTCAGACTCTGAACCACCGTGAGAGCACCGGTCTCTATCTCTACTCGCTGCCAGCCTACATCAATAGCCCCCAAAATAGCATCCCGAACTCCCATAGCCTCCGTCTCCTCAGCCGACCACCCTGCCTTGTGACTCACCCCGGCCCTTCAAGAAGGAACCCCTTTCATCCCGAGCCACCCATCCCCAAGCTCTAATCCCTCCTTGATGATTTACTGCGGCATCAACATTGATCTTGATGTCTCCCTGACTCGGTCTCGCCCATCGTCTCAGCTCTTCCCCTTCCGGTAGCTTATTGCTAGAGTCTTTCCTGCCATATATTTCCTGCCAAGCTCCCAGCATGTTATCCGCCACTCGAATCACCGTCTCGGCCTCCTCCACTTTATCCTTCCAAACAACTCCATTCCTTCTCTTCCACAAACTCCACAAAACAGCCACAAATCTGCTACCTAACTTCCTATTTTCCTGCGCAATACTTTCCCGCAGCCAGCTCTCAAAATCCTTCACCTGTGTCTCGGTTTGTATACCCGCAAACTGCCAGGCAGCCTCGGCTTTGGGGCAGCTGCGCAACGCGTGCTCAGCGCTTTCTTCATCGGAACCGCAACTTTTACACCCTCCAACTATAGCCACACCCCTCCTTTTTAGATTCTCCACTGTTGGAAGCGTGCCATCCAGTACCTGTCACGCAAAATATTTAAGTTTTGGAGGGATCTTCAATTCCCATAAAATCTTCCAACCCTGCCAAGCTCCTTGTAACACGTCGCCCATCAGAGATCTATAACAGCTTTTGACAGAAAAAATCTCATTCTTCTCCCCCACCCACCAATAGTCTTCCGTTCGGTCAGTCAAACTAATAGGGATACTTAAAATTTTCTCCCTATCATCATCCGGATTAAAAATACGACAAATCCTCTCATGATTCCACCACTTCCCGGTCTCGTCCCGAAGGGCCGCCACATTCATATCGCGGACATAAGCCGGTTTTTCTGAAGTAATTCTCCCAGTCTCTGTTCCAGGGAGCCATGCATCTGCCCAAACCTGGACCTCAATACCATTCCCACTCTTCTTCTGGTATTATTCTTTATTATTTCCTGGGTCTCAAAAATACTCCGCCAGATAAAAGAAGGGTTACTTCCCAACTTAGCCTGTAGAAAAGTCGAGTGTGGGTAATACCTAGCTTGAAGAACACAACTCATAAGGCTCTCAGTATCTTTCACCAGTCGCCACCCCTGTTTAGCAAGCATAGCTAAATTAAACTCCCGTATCCTCCTGAAACCGAGTCCCCCTACATCCTTTGGCTTGCACAAAGCTTCCCACTTTCTCCATCTTAATCCTTTCTGATCAAATTTAGAGTCTTTCCACCACAAACCATTCATTAATTTTTCAATTTCATCACACAGATCCTTGGGCAATAGGAAAACATTCATGGCATAAGCAGGCATAGCCTGGATAACATTACGAAGCAAAACTGCTCTACCGGCTCGTGACAAAAAGAGATTGGTCCAACTTTTAATTCGGTTAAAAATACGTTCCTTCAGATACCCCAAAATAACAGATTTATTTCGCCCAACTAAAGCCGATAATCCCAAATAGTGGCTAAGTCCACTTTCTCGGGGTATACCCAACTGGTTGCTACAAAGCTCCCTGAAGGACTCCCCCACATTTTGACTGAAAGCTAGAGTGGATTTGCTGAAATTAACCATCTGACCCGACAGTTCTTCATATTTTAAAAGAATTCTTTTGATGATGTCACACTCCACATTAGAAGCTTTAAAGAATAAAAAACTGTCATCAGCAAAAAATAAATGTGATACTCATGTATTGATAACTCTTAAATCTGAATCATCGATCACTATTGAATAAAATAATCCTAATTTGGAAGGTGACATACATTTCTAAATAATCAGACTTACTGAGTAACAATTAATGAAAAAAACTACTCGTTCAGAATAAAATAACAGTATGTAGCAAAAATAAAATGTATAGATTTTGAGTTAACATTCATTCAAGTATATAAATTATTCAGAAAAAATGTATCCAAATAACCAATTTTGACAGATAAGAGCTTTAAAGTTTTTTAGTATAGCAGTGGAGGTGGATGATAACTTATGTTTAAGCATTTGGTACCAGTTGCAAAAGGAAATTGCCAAAAAGAGTTTTCATGTTTAGGAAAGTAATGAACAAATGGATGAATCCCTCTGTAGCAGACTACCTGTAGGAAATATCAATGGAAGCATGATCCAAAAGGAAATCTGAATTCTAAAGTAATGAAAATGTGTGGGTAATAAATGAAAGTAAAAGATATGGCTATACATTGAAGTGGCCCTACTTGCCTAATTCAAACAATAACTACACAATATTTGAGGCATGCATGGTGGAGAGAGTATGCAGTCTTGAATAATTAAAGAAAGGAAATGTTCTATTGACTTACCTATTCACCTACTGTACTACGGAGTATTTTATGCCACAACATTTGAGTTTATGGTCACTCTCAGGGGCTGATGATAGGGGAGGATCCATATTAGGGTTATGGTAGCCAACCCCGTTAATGTTTAAGTCTAGCGGAGTGGACTTGGGAACAAATTAACTATATATATTACGGGGTATAAGATGTGTTTAACGTAGATAAGTACGTCGAAGCCAGATTCCGGATCCGTGAACGCATCCAGGAGCTGTGTTTAAGGCGGTGATTTTTTTATTTCAATTAGATAAGGACCCTATCAATTTTTTTATTCAAAACAATATTTTCATTAGCATATTGTTGGGATATATTATCTCGGCCTACTATTATTCTGGAAGTCCGATATATTACTCTCGTACAGAGCCCGATCAATAAACTCATGTAACATTCACAGATTCACTGGTGTAGACACAATATATTGGGGGTGACATGGGTCAATAAAGATGTTTTGGAATTTTTTTACACGATTTTGTTAACCTTAAAAATTTAATGAAATATGAAAATTGGGGTAGACCGGAGCCTAGGTTATCCTCCTAGCTACGCCCCTGTCGAGAGCAATAAGTACATTTAGGTTGAAATCTGTGAGAAGTGATAAAAATCGAGTACCAATCAAGTCTACATTGAATGTTATATACAAATAAGTTTGAAATAATTTGTAATTTTCCTTCATAGTTTCATGAACTTGCGTGCACGTCTGTTTCACCGTATGATGTTTTACATTTATTTTTATCATTCATCTCTTAATTTACTCTCACAATGGCATCTTATTTAGAATTTTATTGACATTTTCAGTAAATAAATTACTATTAATTTTTTTATAGTTTTTATATAATTGGCATAATTGCATCTAAATTTTTATATGGGTACTTCACTCCTGTTGTGCGACATGAGTGACGAGTTAGGTAACTAGTAATAGTAGTAGTAATAATAAGAAGAACAACTTGGGACCACAACCAACTTTTAACCTTTTACTTTTGAAAATAAAACACACATATATAGGTATTAGTTCAATTGTGGATGGCTATGAGGCTATGCTTAATTTCATATAGCGTTGGACCCGGGTCGGGCCACCCGGCCCGTGGACCGGCCTGGCCCGCTACTGTGCGGGACCGGGACCGGCCCGGTTCTCGGGTCCGGGTCTGGGTCCGGGTCGGGCCTAGGCCTAGGGGGCGGGTACGGGCTCGGGTCTTACATTTGGCGAACCGGCCCGGCCGGGTCGGGCCGGGCCAAATTGAGATTTTTTTTTTCATTTTTTGGGGTTCCACCCAGGTTGGACTTGATGGTTAGGAGGGGTTTGGGGGTGGGGGTGAGAGGTGGGGGGGGGGGGGGGTTAGGAAAGCACAAAAAAAAAAAAACGGAGGCCCGGCCCGGACCCGGTGGCTACCTGGGCCGGTCCCGGGTCCACCAATTCTGAACCGCCGGCCCGCCCAGGCCTAGGCCCAGACCCAGCCCGGCCCGAGGCCATGCCTAATTTCATAGACCGAACTCAAGTTGGAATTTACTTGCTACTACGTAGTAGTTTTTACTCAGTAGTTTATGCGCACCTACCACCTTTGTGAGACTTTGCTTATAAATAAGACACTAGATCGCTTCACAAAATTAATACCAGAGAGACGTATCATATACTTTATATTTTATATTTTATATATTTTTATAAACCAAGTCTAGAAATAGAACATTTAAGGGTATCAAATTAATATATCAATATCTTTAAATTGGTAAGTTTCCCATATTTATTTATAAGAAGTCACCCAAGGGCAAAGACTTTGACTCCAAATATATCTAAAACCTGCTTTTATTTAGTTGATCTATTGCTACTACTTACTCGTTAATGTCGTTTAGTTAAATTCTCTGTTATTACTTTTATTGTTTCTTTTTATTTGCTCAACGATTATCACAATTAATCGTTATCATAATCGTGTTTTCTGCTTATATATCAATAGTGGTAATAATGACTCGTTACCTTATAAATGAGAAGATTTAAAATCCGTTTAATAACACCAAAATTGATTGAATTGGTTGATTGTGTTTTATAAAGTTTTGGTTAAATTGGTTAATGTCAAAGCAACTAGCTTGTCTAGAGATCTTGTTTATCTTCTTCTTATGGATGTATCTTTCAATGAAGCAGATAGAGCCTAGCCAAGCCCAATAGTGTTTAAACTATACTACAGCTATATTTGGCTTCCACTAAAGTGAAGATTATCGAGCGATGCCGAACCCTGACGATTCCTGCGAAGCTTCTCTTCCTACCCAATCCCAAAGCCCAAACGTAACTAACTAACCAGCTCCACACTATTCTTCATTTTACAACACTTTCTAGGCCTAAATATTTCAACTAATGAAATTTGTTCAGTTTCTATATAAAAAAAAATGAAGAACCTTTATAGAATCGAATCAATAATAAATGGTCCAGTTCTTGCTTTTTATGGGTTTCTAGATTTTTTTCATTTTAGAATTAACACATACTTTATTTTCTACCCATAGAAGTGTCAAAAATTCAAAACACATGTATTGAAATTTTATTTGAAGTTCTAATCACTTCAAACCAGGCGCGGATCTAGCATTTGCACTACAAAAAAACACGCATGTAGTCAGGGGCGTAGCTAGGATTGAAGGTTGGGCTGGGCCGGTATATAGAATTTTTCAGATAATTTTTTTTCACATGAATGTTTAGACTAAAAATACAAATAATTTTCAAATTTGGGGCAGGCCGTGGCTTGGTTGGCCACCCCTCTAGCTCCGCCCCTGCATGTAGTCACAGACGTTAGTCACGGATCTCGTCCGTGACTAGCTTAATCACGGACTAGTCACAGACTTTTAAAAAAATAGTCACAGATTTGGCCGTGACTACGTCCGTGACTAACCAAATCCGTGACTAAGGACCGTGACTAAAGTCCTCCGGTAGCCCCAACTTGTCGCCGGCGTGTCCGTTTTTATTCCGGCAACTTAGTCACGTGACGTATCCGTGACTAAGTCTGTGACTAATAAAAAAATTAATTTTCCAACGCTCAAAATTTATTTCGCAACGGTATCTTGTACGGGTTAAATTAGTCACGAATTGTTCCGTGACTAGGTCCGTGACTAAAAAACGAATAATAATATTCCCACGCGCAATTCAAACGGAATGGCTTAGTCACGGAAAAATCCGTGACTAAGTCCGTGACTAGATTTTTTATATATGCACGCCCAGTTCATTCAACAGAACCACACCAATTCATTCCCAGTATATATAATACAGTATCTGTTTGAAAGATCGAATGATGTAGTCCATCTTATGTCATTTCCCCTGTTTATGCAGATAAGGTATGTTATTTGAATTCTTTTTTATTTAGAATTAGTTGGTTCAATTTAAATAATTAAAATGATTAAATTAGTGAGGTTGTTAATTAATTAACAGTATATTTAACTATAAACGTAGTGATGTCATAAAATTAGTTAAATTTTTAGGTTTATAAAATAATTTAATTTAAATTAGTTAGCTAAGCGTAGGTCTAAACGTAGTGATGCATTAAGTTAAATTAAGTAAAATTAATTAGCTAGACGTAAATTTAAACGTAGCGATGCATTAAGTTAAATTAAGTAAAATTAGTTAGCTAAACGTAGGTTTTAACTAATTAAGTTAAATTAATTAATTAAGTTAGTGTAGCTTTTGATAATTTTAGTTAATTGAAATGTTTATAAAAAAGGTTGCTAATTAATTAACGAAATGAATTAGTTAAAATTAGTTAAACGTAGGATTAATTTAAATGTAGTGTTAAATTACTTAAATTTTTTATAATATTAGTTAAATTTAAGTATTAGATTTTATTATTAGCAATTAATGTTAATGCCTAAATTAGGATTTGTAATGGGTTAAGTTTTGATTAAAACATTACTTAGATTTTGTGAATTGTTATTGTGAATTATTTGAAGTTCATTTAGTTTAGAATTGTTTATTGTGTATTATTAATTAGATTTTGATAATTTTAGTATTGTGCATGAATTTCATTTAATTTAGTAAATTGTTTATTGTGTATTATTGATTATTTAGTGTTAGTGTATTGATTATTAGTTAATAATTTAAATGATTAATGTCATTAACGTATTAGTAGTTCTAGTTAATTAATAATATTAATTGAACGTTATGTAATTGTAGTGCATTGAACTTTAGTAAAATTGAATATATTAATGCTCCTACGTATGAATTAGTGAAAATATTTAACATAACAAATTGTTGATAATGTTTATGATTTAAAGTTTTTAACCAATATATTTTTTATTATTATAATATTCAGGCATAATGTATAGGCAAAATAGAAGTTGGATGT